ATGTAACAAAAACAGCAACAAAATAGACCAGGGGTCGAGCCCTGGCGGAGTCCGTAACACTATCCCCTCCCTCTGAAAGACAACGTCCCGGCTGCCAAAAACCTAAGGAGACAAAAAGGAACTGTGAAGGATGGGACAGGGCCGATCACTGGTCGAAAAAGGAGAAGGGGAGTGATGCAAGTCATAGGGTATTCTGTAAGATGTTCTGCACAGGTGAAGGTATGATGTAACTGGGTAGGTCTACAAGGGAAGCTAAGAAATGTTCAGGGAACAAGGGATTTCTATTGGTGTTCTACTGGGTAAGGGGAAACAATGTCCAGAAAAACAGAGAATTTCTATTGATGTTATAGTGGGTAAGGGGAACAATGGTCAGGGAAACAGAGAATTTCTATTGATGTTCAAGTGAGTAAGGAAAACAATGGTTAGGGGAACAGGGATTTTCTAATGATGTTCTACAGGGTTTTCAGGAAAAATGAAAGTGTTTGTTCAGGATGCAGGGGCTGGTACGTCCGAAGGAGTGGGAAGCAAAATCCCATGTAGGAACAAAGTGTCCAAGTGTCTTGAAAGGGGATCTGCAACGGTCTTGATCATGTCTTGGAATAGGTGGTAGAAGCGGTCCTCGACGGCTGCGACAGGTAGAAGTCCAAGAAGCGTAGCAGTAGTTCAAATGTCCAAAGTCCAAATGTTAGGGTGCGTCCGGTACACGAACTGCAATGAGGTCTGATATGGAAGCAAGGAAGTCGTAGACTGATGCAAAGATCCATGTCACAAGTTGCTGCTCCAGTAAGTCTGCGAGTCGGGATGCCGACCGATGAAACAACATGGTGGCCAAACCAGGTGCATAATCTCCATGATCAGTGAGGCAGCAGGCCATCGTCCTCGTGCGTTTGCCATTAGATCCTTTACCGTCGGCGTCACGCAAGTCCACAAGCATGGACAAGAGAGACAAGGTAGTGGAGATGACAAATGAGACAAGGCTAGGCGAGGGCAATGACAAATCAGACATCAGGAATCAGGGTCGAGGGGAGGGTGGGTTGGGTTCAAGTATGTGTGTAGAGCAGGGTTGCGAGGTTGTAGCAGGGTTTCAAGCGAGGGTTTACGGTTTATACCAGGGTATACTTAGGATATAGGGTAGGCACGATCATAGGCACAAACAAGTTTCATGGCATTCTTGAGATTATCAAGGGGTTCCCATGTTGATTCTTCATCAGGGTATCCGGTCCATTTACTTTGTATTCGGTGATTCGTTCCGGGTGATTTGATACTTGAGTTGTTCTTCGTCCTATGATTGATTCGACTATGAATTCTGGGTCTGTTGGAAGCATGATTGGTGGAGGTCTAGGATAAGGGCGGTCAGCGAACTGAGGAGGGCATTCGTGGTATTCCTTGAGGTATTCTACGTGGAAGACTAGGTGGACGCGACGCATGTCTGGTGGAAGCTAAAGTTTGTAATTCACGGGAGAGGTTTGTTCAATGATGGGGAAGGGACCGAGCCACTTGTTCGAGAGTTTCTTGGACAAGCCTTGTTCGGGTTCAAAGTGTTTGGCAGAAAGTCAAACTTTGTCCCCTACTTTGAATGACACGTCACTTCTGTGTTTGTTAGTCTTGTTTGCTTGTTGTTCTTGTGTCTTTCAAGAGCTTCGATTGCTTCTCTAAGGAGTCTGTTAATTGTTGCTACCCATTCATTGAGAGAGGGGCAAGGGGTGGAGGGGCTGAGCTGCGAGAGAAGCAAGAAATCAGAGGGCAAGCGGGGATGGTAGCCAAGGTCGAGGTAGAGAGGGGACATCCCAGTGGAAGGGCAGACAATGTTGTTGTAGTCAATCTCGGCGGCTGTGAGCAATTGATCCCAGTCATGTTGGTGTGGATGAAAATACTTCCGCACAATTCTTTGGAGAGTATCGTTCATCTTCTCGGTCTGGCCATCGGTCTGGGGGTGGAATGCAGTGCTATACTTGAGCGTGGTTCCGCAGGCTTGGAAGATGTGTTTCTAGAACGGTGATAGGACGCGGGGATCGCGGTCACTGATGATGTTCTCGGGGAGACCGTGGTGGCGAGCGACATGATCGAAAAAGAGTACGGCGATGTCTTTCGCATTGTGCGAGGTGGTACAAGGAATGAAGTGGGCGCGTTTGGTCAGACGACAAACAATGACGTAGATGCAATCATGCCCACGGTCGGTCTTGGGGAGGTCGCACACGAAGTCCATGGAGATGGACTGCCACCGGTGGGTAGGGATGGGCAATGATTGGAGCTTGTCGGGCTTGTCTCGGTTCGAGGGATTAACGGCCTGACAGGTGGGGCACGAGCGGATGTATGCTTTGACGTCGGCGAGTAGAGAAGGCCAATGGAAGTAGCGGGAGATGGTGTTGAAGGTTTTCTGGAAACCGAGGTGGCCAGCGGTCTTGGCATCGTGGTGCTCGACCAAGAGCTGGATATGAAGATCACGTGCGTAAGGGATGTAGAGTCGGCGAGCGCCCTTGGTGTCAATGTAGAGTAGATTGTCATGGAGAGAGTAGTAAGGGATTGAGCCAAGGTTGCGGAGTTGGTAGTAAATGGAAGCGAAGTCTGGGCAAGATAGGTAACCTTGGGTGTAGCGGCGATGTAACGAGGGAAAAAGTTGAATGTGGGTCATGCCGGCGTAAACTTTCTCAGGGGGTTTGTGGTCGGGGCGACGGGAGAGGGCATCAGCAACGCGGTTGCTTTTGCCGGGGGTGTGGCAGATGGTGAAGGTGAACTGGGCAAGGAAGTCTAGCCATCGGGCTTGGCGGGGGGTGATGTCTTTCTTGGTAAGGATGGAGGAGACGACTGTGTTGTCAGTGCGGATGGTGAAGTATTGTCCGTCGAGCTACGGGCGCCAGACGTTGAGGGCGTAGACCACGACTAGAAGTTCCTTCTCGTTGGAGGGGTAATTCATCTCCGCGGGAAGGAGTTTCTTGCTAGCGAAGGCAATGGGGTGTTCGTCGGGTGGGGACTTTGAGTGAGTAGGGAAATCTTTGACAGAGGGGATCTCGGTGGGGTCAGGAGGGAAATACTGGGACAGGACAGCCCCAATGGCGAAGTCTGAGGCATCAGTGGTGACGAAGAAATGGCGAGTGGGGTCAGCGATCTTGAGGACGGGGGAGGTGGTGATGAGTTGCTTGAGTTTGTCGAAAGCGGCTTGGCGACGTTCAGTCCATGTGAAGGACTCGGTGGCGCGGGTGAGCTCATGGAGAGGGTAGGAGACGTCGAAGAAGTTTTAAATGAAGGGGCGGTAATAGTTGGCGAGTCCAATGAATGAGCGAAGCTGGGTCAAGGTGGAGGGAGGTGGGAACTCGATGAAGTTGCCGGTGACGCCAATATAAAAAAGGGCCCGGAACTTCACCGTCGATGCACCGAGGGAAACCGGAATGAACTTGAGCTGGAACTGTGCGGATCCGACACAAGCAGAGGAGATCATAGTGTTGAGGCGACGTTGCTCGAGGCCTAACTTAATGAGCCGATCGTGTCGGACTCGTTCCCAACAAGATCTGTGAAAGTGGTGGCAGATGGGTTAGGGAGGAGGGTGGAAGAACATGTGGCAGTGGAGGGTTCATCCGACGGAATAGGGGCCATCGTCGGGAGGGGGGCATGCGGAGTAGACTGCGACGCCTGGAGATTATCCGGTGGGATGTGCGTCACCGGAGGAGGGGTTGGCAGACGAATGGTCAATGCCAAATGAGCCATCGGTGGGACGGAGGACGTCACCGATGGGTGGGCCGACATACGCGATGTCGATGCCGGGTCGATGTCCTGGGGACTGTGTTCATGATGAGGAGGGACCCGCGCTAGCCGAGGGCCATGATGCGGAGGTTGCGGGTCGAGTGGAGGTGGACTGGGGGGTGAATTGTGCGGCGTTGGGGCAGTTGGTTTGTTGGTGCCCTAATTCGCGACAACGGAAGCAACCCCCTTTTGCTTGGAGGTAGGTGTGTTCCTCGGGAATGAGTTTCTTGAGGCGGGAGGGTGGGGTAGATGAGGGTGGTCGAGAGCTGTGATCTTTGCGCTCCATCCTAATGAATTGGACAACATTGAGTTCCTCGGAAGAGAGGGATGAAGAGTCGAGTGAATCGGAAGATGCATCGGGGTCCGGTGTAGTGAACTCGTCCGAGGAGGTGGTGTAGGTGGTGTCCTCCTCCCGATGACGTCTGTTATCCCGTCGGTCGAGCTTCCCACTAGCACCTGCTCTTCTACTCTCATCCCTAACCCCTCCTCCTCCACCTTCTCCGATCTCGTTGTGGAACAAGCACAACATGATCAACTTGTTAGATTAGGCTTGGAACAACACCGCCTCAACACTATGATCTTTTCTGTTTGTGCCGGAACCGCACGGTTCCAACTCAAGTTCATCGCCGTCTCCCTTGGCGCATCGAGAAGTTCCGGACCCTCCTCGATATTGGTGCCACCGACAACTTCATCAACGAAGCCTGTGTCCGCAAAGTCGGCCTCTCTTCCACCGGCTATGACCCCCCGATCACCATCCGACTAGGGGATAAGGACTCAGCCATCATTGTCGATCGCACTGTCCCCGAGACCCCCATGATTGTTGGTCCTTTTCGCAGTCAGGTCTCCTTCGATGTCATGCACTTCATGTGCGACATCTTCTTGGGGACTCCATGCCTTGACCGTTTCATGCCCTACTCCTTCCACCCCTCCTTCGTCCGACTCACCCGCCCTCCTGACTCTCCTCTTGATATCCCTTACCTTCTCCCCCCTTCTACCCCGCCCCCTGTCTCCCCTCACCAGTTCCTTCACATATCTCGTGAACAACCCGACTCCGCTTACTATTGCCCTCACCAGTTCCTTCACATATCTCGTGAACAACCCGACTTCGCTTACTATTGCCTTGTTATCGACCACGAGCATCCCGAGGACTTGCTTCCAACGGACAAACCCGACCAAGACCCCCCTTCTGATCCTAACATCACCGCTCTTCTCTATGAATTCAAGAACGTCTTCCCCGAGTCCTTGCCCGCCAATTTACCTCCCGATCGAGGTGTATCCCACACCATTGATCTCGAGCCCGACCATTCTCCTCCTTGCCGCCATCCGTACCTATTCTCCGTCCTCGAGGACGAAGAAGTGAAGCGCCATCTCAATGACCTCCTTGAAAAAGGATTCATTAAGCCTAGCTCCTCCCCCTTCGGAACCAGTTGTCTCTTCGTCAAGAAGAACGACACCTCGAAACTCCGCATGTGCACAGACTACCGTGCCTTGAACCAGATCACGATGAAGAACAAGTACCCACTCCCCCGGATATCTGAACTTCTTGATCGCCTCCCTGGAGCCAAATATTTCACCAAGATCGATCTTCGCAGTGGCTTCCACCAGATCCGTATCTGCGCGGAGGACACCCACAAGACCGCATTCCGCTCTCGGTTCGGGCACTACGAGTTCCTCGTAATGCCTTTCGGACTCACCAATGGCCCCGCCACATTCCAGTCCACCATGAACCACATCTTCCATGACCTCCTCGAAGTCTGTGTCGTCGCGTACCTTGATGACATCCTCATCTTTAGCCCCACCTTTAAGTCCCACCTTCAGCACATTCGCCAACTCCTCTCGATCCTCCGAGAGCAAAAATTATACGCCAAGCTCAACAAATGTACGTTTGCCGCTTCGAGCGTCGAATACCTTGGCCACATTGTCTCCGCTGAAGGCATCCGTATGGACCCCTCGCAGGTCACAACCCTCGTCGAGTACCCCCCGCCCAAGACCCTCCTCCAACTCCGTTCCTTCCTCGGCCTTGCCAACTATTACCGCCCGTTCATTTGCAACTTTTTCGAGATCTCTTACCCTCTCCACAACCTCACACGCAAGGACGAGCCCTTCAATTGGAACGATCGCCGCCAACAGGCTTTCGACTTCCTCAAGCAAACCATCACCACGACCCCTGTCCTCAAGATCGCCGACCCCACTCGCCATTTCTATGTCACCACTGATGCCTCCGACTTCGCCGTTGGAGCCGTACTGCCCCAACATTTCTCCCGCGACACCGCCGAGACCCCCTCCATCAAGGACTCACCCACTCACCCCGAGGCTGCACCCAGCGAATACCCCATCGCCTTCGCAAGCAAGAAGCTCCTTCCCGCGAAGATGAATTACCCCTCCAACGAGAAGGAACTCCTCGCCGTGATTCACGCCCTCACAGTCTGACGCCCGTACCTCAACGGGCAATACTTCACCATCCGCACTGAAAACACCATCGTTTCCTCCATCCTCACCAAGAAAGATATCACCCCACACCAAGCTCGATGACTCGACTTCCTTTCCCAATTCACATTCACAATTTGCCATACCCCCGACAAAAGCAACCGTGTTGTTGATGCCCTCTCTCGACGACCCGACCACAAGCTCCCCGAGAAAGTCCACACCGCCATGACCCATATCCAACTCCTCTCATCACTCCATCACCGATACACCCAAGGCTACCTCTCTTGCCCAGACTTCGCCGTCATTTACAACAAGCTCCGCGATCTTGACCCAGTCCCCGACTACACCCTCCACGACAACCTCCACTACATCAACGCCAAAGGCACTCGCCGACTGTGCATCCCCGACACGCGTGGTCTTCGTACCCAACTCTTGGTCGAGCACCACGACGCCAAGACCGCAGGTCACCTCGGTTTCCAGAAAACCTTCGACACCATCTCCCGCTACTTCTATTGGCCTTCTCTACTCGCTGACGTCAAAACATACATTCGCTCATGTCCCACGTGTCAGGTTGTCAATCCCTCGAACTGGGCCAAAACGGGCAAGCTTCAATCATTGCCCATTTGCACTCACCGGTGACAGTCCATTCCCATGGACTTCGTGTGGGGTCTCCCTAAGATCGACCGCGGGTATGATTGCATCTACGTCATTGCCTGTCGCCTGACCAAACACGCCCATTTCATTCCTTGCACCACCTTGCACACCGCCTTACTCTTCTTCGACCATGTTGCACGACACCACGGCCTCCCCAAGAATATCATCAGCGACCACGATCCCCGTTTCCTTTCACAGTTCTGGAAACAACCCTTCAACGCCTACGAAACTACACTCCAGTATAGCACTGCATTCCACCCATAGAACGATGGACAAACCGAGAAGGTGAACGATACTCTCCAAAGAATCCTACAGAAGTACTGCCATCCACATCAACACGACTGAGATCAGCTGCTCACCACCGCCGAGATCACCTACAACAACGTTGTCTATCCTTCCATTGACTTGTCTCCATTCTACCTTGACCTTGACTACCATTCGCGCTTGCCCTCTGATTTCCTGCTTCCCTCGCAACTCAACCCCTTCACACCCTGCCATTCCCTCAATGAATGGGTAGCAACAATGAATCGACTCCTCAGAGAAGCAACCGAAGCCCTCGAAAGAACACAAGAACAACAAGCAAACAAGATCAAAAAACACAGGCGGGACTAACAATTCAAAGTAGGGGACAAAGTCTGGCTCTCCGCCAAACGCTTTGAACCCGAACATGGATTGTCAAAAAAACTTTCGAACAAATGGCTCGGACCCTTCCCCATCATTGAAAAAACCTCCGACGTCAACTACAAACTCCAACTCACCCCGACATGAGTCGCGCCCACCAGGTCTTCCACGTCTAATACTTGAAAGAATATCATGAATCCCCACCCCAATTCGCTGAACGCCCATATCCTAGACCTCCACCTATCATATTACCCGCAGACCCTGAATTCATTGTTGAAGCAATCATAGGTCGACGAACTACTCAGGTATCTGACCACCCGGAACCAATCACTGAATACAAAGTCAAATGAACCGGATACCTCGACGAAGAATCTACATGGGAACCTATCTCGAATCTCAAGAATGCCATGAAACTTGCCCGCGCCTATGATCGTGCTACTCCTATGTTCTAGATACCCACGTAACTACAACCCTAAACCCCTGTATAAACCTTGCTACAAATCTATAACCTCGCAACCCCGTTCTACACACACCCTTGAACCCAGTTCACCCTCCCCTCGACCCTGACTCTTGATGTCTGATCTTCCCCTGCCCTCGCCTAGCCTTGTCCCATCTGTCCTCTCCACTACCTGGTCTCTCTTGTCCAACGCTTGTGAACCTGCGTGACGCCGTCGATAAAGGATCTAATGGCTAGTGCACGAGGACAATGGCCTGCTGCCTCACTGTTCATGTAGATTATGCAGCTGGTTTGGCCACCAGGCTGTTTCATCGACCGGCATCCCGACTCACGGACTTCCTAGAGCAGCAACTTGTGACATGGATCTTTGCATCAGTCTGCGACCTCCTTGCTTCCAGATCAGACCTCATTGCAGTTCATGTACCAGACACACCCTAGCACGTGGACTTTGGACATTTGAACTACTGCTACACTTCTCAGGTTCCTACCTGTTGCAGCCACTGAAGACCGCTTCTACCACCTACTCCAAGACCTGATCAAGACCATTGTAGACCCCCTTTCAAGACACTTGTACACTTTTCTACATGAGATTTTGCTTCCAACTCCTTCGGACATACCAGCCCTTGCATCCTGAACAAACATTTTCATTTTTATTTTTTCCGACTTTGACAACCATGTAGAACATCATTAGCAGATCCCTGTTTCACTAACCATTGTTCCCCTTACCCACTAGAACATCAATAGAAATTCCCTGTTCCCCTGACCATTGTTTCCCTTACCCACTAGAACATCAATAGAAATTTCCTGTTCCCTTGACCATTGTTTCCCTTACCCATTAAAACATCAATAGAAATTCCCTGTTTTCCTAAACATCGTTTCCCTAACCCAGTAGAACATAATAAAAATCCCCTGTTCCCTGAACATTGCTTAGCTTCCCCTATAGACCCACCCAGTTACACCATACCTCCCTGTGCAGAACGTCAGACAAAATACCCTGTGACGTCTATCTTTTTGTTGTTTCTGCTGCATCCCGTTTTCGGTCTGGCACCCTGTTGTCCAAAACCCTCCTTTGGTACCGTCGGATTTTGGACAACTGGCGCCATGCTGCAATTCAGGCGTCACTTTCAAATGCCGCAATTTTTCAGTTCTGCCCTCGGGGTTTTTGCGGAAATGCCTCTGGTACCGTACGTGTCACCGGTACTTTTGCCACTGTGTCTGCGTCCGACCCTCAGTCGTGTCGAGTGAGTGAGTGTGTGTGTGCTCTCACTCTCTCCCTCTCTCTCTCCTCTCCCTCGGCTCTCCCTCAGCCTCGCGCTCGTCACAGGAGGGAGCAATGGTGGCGTTCACATTACCGTTAGAGGAAATGATCCCGCCACATCTCCTCACACCAGTTATGCTCATCTCCCCACTGCAGTCTCAGCCCTCACCCTCCACACAGGTCATCGATTTGATATCAGAGAAATTCTCATCATCTGAGACTGGGTTTGAGCCGGAAACTCCCCAGACGAACCCGGCCTTACAAGAAAAGGACGGGGGTGCAGAAAAGGTATCAGAACCAGAAATCGACCTGCTCTCCCCCTCGCAAGATGACACAACAGATAGAGCATCAGAGATGGATGAATCAGATTACGACACTTCGGAGGGAAATGAACAACTGTCTGAATCATACAGGAAGATGAGACAGCAAAGCAGCAACAGGGGATTCTGACGACCTCAGCTGCTGCACATAAGACCAAAGGGAAAGTAAAAGATCTCATCAGACTGCCCAAACTGCGGACGACGGCCTTGTCCCTCTCTCAGATGCAAGGCCTGCTGGTTCTTCCACTAAGAAGAGAGTCTAGCACACAGCAATGGCAGGTAGGTCTAAGGGAGAAAGACAAACTGGCTGACTTTGACTCAACAATGGCAGAATTCACAATGGAAGGTTGGAAAGGGTTGTATGGCAAGGATGATTCGGTCTTTCATCAAGGACAACAATGACCGGGGAGTAATGAGGGTCTCCCTTCACAACAACAGACCTTTGCCCATGGGAATAACGTTAGCAATCATCCTATTTGATTACACCCAGTCGATGGAAACCACCAAGAAGGGTGTTACATCCCTTATTTGACTATCCAAGAAACAACTTCTTGAGGTTTCCACCACACGTCTGAGACCGAACTTCACATGGAAAGTGCAGCACATCCAAATGTTCCTTCAAACGATTCTGGAGGAAGGCATGCTAGACTCCTCCAATGACCGGGACAACCAGAAAAGCCTCATTCAGTTGTTGTGATTAAATTAGCAGCGCTCTACCAATAAACTACAAATGGAAAATAGTAAGGATGCGGCCCAACAAATCCACAAAGATCAGTTAATGCAAGAACAAGAGACGACAAGCAACCCGGAACCACTGAGAACCGCTCCCCCACAATTACCCCCTCTGCAATTCACACCACCGAGTGCGGCTCAACCACCATCCCCGCCCCGACCCCCACCCCCACTCCCACCTCCCCCCCCCCCCCCTCCCCGACCTGCCCCACCCCCACTTCCCCCACCTCCCCCACCATCAGTGGTTCATCCTCCACTACGTCGCCCACCAGTCTGGCTCAAAAAAATTGAACAAGCTGATTTTAGCATTCGCTCACTTAACGTAAATGGGTTCATCGCAACCAATGAATAAAAAAAAGAGGAGATATGGAAGACACTCCGAAATGAAGAAACAGGAAGTTGGCCGGATGCCATCTGTATCCAAGAAACCCACTCATCTGACTCTGCCAATCATGAAGCCAAGAAGAAAATAATATGGCCCTATACCTCATTTACAGCTCATGCCACAGCCAGAGCGTCGTCAGGGGTTGCAATCTAGCTGCCACCAACAACTAGGTTGATCCCACAGCAGGTGGAGTACGACAGACAGGAAGGTAGATGGGTCTATCTTAAGGCAGCCTTGAGAGAAGAAACGGTATGTATAGTTAGCATCTATGGCCCAAATGATCCGACTGACAGAGTGAAGTTCCTACAAAACCTGCATCAGTCACTTCCATCAGACGACCCGTTGATTATAGCAGGAGATTTTAACATAACCTCGGACCCGAATCTAAATAGGAAATCCTCATCCCAATTGCCTCAAGGGATCATAACGCCGGATATCTTTGCATTAATTCAA